CCGGCTCGATTGCACCCTTCGCCAGGAGGGCAGCAATCTCCTCTCGCAAGACAGGGGCGGACAGGGGGTTGACCCTGGAGAAATACACGCCCGTAAACTTGGGGGGCCGTTTCGCGAACTGAATCGCGTAACCGAGTCTGATTGTGCGTATGAGCCACCGCGAGGGGCTGGCCCGCGCTAACCAGGCAGGCAGAGTCCCCACTAATGGAGTCATCGCTACAATCGCTGACGTACAAGCGGTGGGGCAGCGCGGAGTGGGTGTGCTGATCCGGGAAGCACGAGGGTCCCGCGGAAAAGCTGGAGGAGAGCGATTCACTCTGGCTCCGCACCCTGACTCCGGAGAGGGGGCTGGAGGGCTGAGGGAAGGGAGACCGTCCCCCCAGCGCTCGTGAGCCACTGGCGAAGCACGTAGAGTCTGCGAGCCGGAAGGCAGCGCGTCCCGGACTGGCAGAACTCGTGCAGTCACATCCGGGGAAGGGAAAAAGTGCTCTTTTACTGATGTTTTGGTGGCACTGAAAAGTACCGTTGTTATCGGGGCCCCGCCCTCCAGCGGGGAAAGAGCAAGTTTCCTCTTCTCCGGATGGCCTGTCTCAGGGACGCTTCGCGGTCCGTTTACCGGACTTAACGGCGCCCTGGGCAGGAGGGGCTGCCTGCTTTCGAGGTGAACGCCGCGCCCGCTTGGCCGGAGGTGCAGGCGGGGGCGGGGCAGCACTCGTTGGCGGGCGCCCTCGGCGAGGAATAGCGGAGGTGGATGGCTCGGCGGGCGGAGCGGGCTTACGGCCACGCCGATAGATGACATTGCCCATCGCATCCGACTGCTCTTTCACCGCCTTGAATTCCTGGGTGAATTCACCGACGGTGTCGCCGAACAGGCCAGCCTGGGATATGGGCGAGTCAAGAAAGCGAACTTTGTCAACGTCGCGCATATCGGCCAGGTTTAGCCAGAGGTGGCGTTCCTGAACCACAAGTGTGGACATCGTCCTCCCCAGCGCACAAGCGGCGGACTTAGTAGTCCGAAGAGCATAGTCGGTCGCGGTGCGCAGCTCATGTAATAAGCTTGGGTTGGACCCGCCCTCGTGCAGCTCGGCCAGCGCCTGCGCTTGGTAGCGCTGGTAGGTGGCCATCGCGTGCAAAGCAGAAGCAGCCTGGCCCGCAGCCTTATAAGCTCTGGCTCCGAGGGAGGCAGACAACCTACAGGCTTTGGACGGGAGGCGGGGCAAACCCCGCCACGTAGAGGCGCCGCGCGGACAAAGATTGACCGCGATAGCGCGCTCCACTGACGGGATCGCCTCATACGCCCTGGCAGCTCCGCCGTCAAGGGCGGTGAGGGCGGAGGCACTCGCAGCACGGGCAGAGAAAGGTGCCCTCCAGGACTGCGTGAGCCTACTGTGCACTTCCGGGAAGAAGGGGACGAGAGGCTTCGAAGGCTTCGCCTTCTGGTCCTCTACGTAGCACCCATCTAGTCGGTCCGGCCGCGGAGCTGGGGGATAAACCATCTCCAACCCCACGGCCGAAGCAGCCCGGGAAAGCACGGCTAACATGTCCGCTTCAGGATCCGATTTGACAGCGCTCACCTGCCCGGAGGGGGCGAGCGGGTCCGGATCTTCGTCGGACAGTGAAAGCCCACCCTCCGATGCCGCGGAGGACATCTGATCTCCGGTGTCAGCGAGTGTGAGAGCTACCATCTGGTTAGACGGATCACTCTCACCACCCGAAGCTTGGATGGAGCGCCGTGAGGAGCGAGAGGTCCGCGAGCCCGTGGGCGGCGGATTAGCTCCCGCTGAAACCCTCAGATCTGCCCGAGCGCCCGCTGCTTTTTTAGAACAGGAGGCAACTGGGGTGGCTCGCTCTCTTGCGAAAGTTAGCCGCGATCTTAGCTGTGCAACGGTCATGGCATCGCAATGACGACATGAACCGCCCGCGAGCACCGCATTAACATGCTGGACCCCCAAACATGCAATGCAGTGATCGTGTCCATCATCCGGAGACAGGAAACCCCCGCATCCAGAAACGCACAGTCGGAGCGCCATCCTGAAAAGGACGTGCTGCACGACTGTGTTGCTCTTTTAGGAAAGTTGCAACTATACGCACCGCTCTGGAGGACCGGACCCAAAGAACCGCAGGCAAGGGAGTAACCCAGCTCGACCGTCTGCCACCGCGAAGACCCACTCTGGACCGGGAGACACACTCGTTCGCTCTGAAGTGCTGATCAGCAAGAGGAACCCTCATCGACTCACTCAGAAAGGATCTGAAGCGAAAAGGATGGCGTCTGCTGGCTTCAGGTGTGCTTATATGCTGAGATAATTGCAGATGTCGCACACCTGCGCAAGCTTACGCTGCCAATTAATTTCATTCATTGGCCCGTTCAATACTCTCCAGATAAGCGGCTTCTGATCCGAATCCTCCCATTCATGGCACTGAAGTTCCCCAACCGAAGGGGAACTTGACATTACCAAGACAACATAATTTCATAAATCTGCATAATTAAATGATTATCATCAGGCCATTATAATTTTTTCAGTGGAACTAATTGAATTTGATTTATCATTAACATTTCTCAGTCAATACTCTGACAAATAATTTTATAACAGTGTCATTAATATTTAATGACATCTAATGACTAATTCTATTTGTGTCAAGTTGAGGTCTAGAAAAATATAAATGAAAAATTTTCAATAAAATTACAATTACAATGGCCTCATGAAAGTCACGTTTATGACAGATTTATGACAAGTTATGTTGTCTTGGTAATATCACATTGTCATGACAAAAACAAAAGATTTTGTTATGCATTTGATTATGTCAAGCTGTCAATAAATACATTTTAAACTATGTCATCTTCGAAATTTAAGACTACATAACTGACTAAATCGTCACCTTGGAATTATTAGGTTCTATCTGCGTTCTGAATTATTTTGAGATATTTAACTTCAAGGTTTTTCCATTCCATAAAGCAAACAGTATGTTTGTCACATTTGTTTTTTTAAATAAAAAGTTTTAAAATGTAAACAACATGCCATAATGTAAATAAGTTAAAGTTAAAGTCATTTAATAAAAATGTCAATAACTCAATTTTGACAAAAAAAGTCAAATAGACCCTTATAATTCTAAGGTAACGAAATGACGTCATAAGCATGCATATTCATAATGTGTCTAGGCCTGGACCAGTATATGATTCTGACAGTATGACAACCTTGGATAAAAATATCATGGTTTCACAGTATCACTGTGTTCTGACAACTACTCTAAAATGAGTTATTTTAAAATATCTGAGTGATAAACAAAACTTTTTTCTTATTTAAACTCAATATATTCGTTAGAAAATAGAAAATATTTAAATAGAAACATTTAAAATATGTTGTAACAGTAAACATCTCAGGTTAAATAATTAAATAGAATCATTGACTTCTGCTATCTTCATTAGTTTCAAAAATACTGATTTCTTTACAAGTTTAAAAAGGCATCTGTGGATATCTTTTCTGCTGGAGATACTGTCATCCTAAAAAATTAAAATGACAAAACACGTAATAAAAAATCTTACATGTACCGTAAGAACGGTATAACCGAAACGTTATGCGATTTTAAAACTTTGACCTCCAAACCGCGGTATATCTTAAAACAAGTTATAGTTCCATGCCTAGATGTGTCATCTCACAATTAAAAAGGTTTTCATAACAGTCTTATGAACACCCTTCAAATAAGATGTTATCATTCAGGATTAAATCAAAGACACATCAACACAATTGTCCATTTATACTGTATCTGACCATTCATTTGAGGTGTGTCATTTGAGGTCTTTAGTGACTAATTTTAACACTTAAGCTTGGCTTGAAAATTTTATTTCTTTTTGGGGCACTGCTATAAATATATTCTGTAAATTCTGAAGTTAATATTTTTAAATATTTCAGACACAAAACTGCAATTATTTTGATCAGACTGCCTGTTTAGTACTTTAGATGGTTCTTTACGTTTGATTCTTACTTGCAATTCTGTTGCATTAGCTGTCATTTTTCAAATTTTTATGTCATTTTTATATTTGATGGCCTGGTTGCATAATGTTCAGTAACAAACAACAGAATTATTTTATTTTAAAAAGTTAATAACTAAAATAAGTTAAAACTTTTTAATAATCTGATAACATTTTAAGCTGTCATAAGTTAATGTTTCAACCTGCCCCTTTCAATTCCATTTTTATGGAGTGAATATTGAAACAGGTATACACTGTAATTATGAAACCAAACCACATATTTCCATTAGACAGGTGTGAAATTAATCTTGAAAAAAAAAATTACACTCTGAACCCCACATGGATTCACACAATCTGAGAACGTCAAAAAGTATTAGGTTGTTGCTAGCTCTTCTACACAATGCTGCTAGTACAAGGAAAGAGAGCATTGACTGTTGTATAACGTGAATATATGTGCACAACGCAAGTACTACAGCAGAAAATTCTGCATTTAGGTCACAGATTTGAACAGTGACTCCTCTGCCTGTGTTCTGAACATCAAAAAGAATAATCAATTACTAAAATATGCTAAGTAACCTAGATTCAGCATGTAGTGTCTGCCAGTGGGCTGCAGTGTATAGCTAAGCCACACTACACACTTTCTGATCCCCCACATACTGGGTGTGTTTCAATACACTCCGACATGCCAGCCCCTGGTGTCCTTGCTCCCTTAAAGATGATGCTGACTTAATTTAAATGTATAGCTCAGGGATTTATGTGATTTTTTTTATTTCTTTTTAATTTAATCATTACCGATTCTGTCCCTTGAGAACATAAACATCATGGAGAAAGTGACAGATAAAAGACACTTTAAACTCGGTCTAACTTTAGATAGGCAGCAGAACATTCTTCTCATTGAAACACCTCTAAGGAATGGGGCGGAATTAAAGGACAATTGTGTGTTTAGTGAAAATGAAGACAGTGGCAGCGTGAGCAAGAAAAGCAATAAAGTACAAACGCACACATACATTGAAAGGCAGAATAAATGTCTTACTTGATGTTGTCCAGGCAACCGGAGTCAGGCTTGAGAATGGCTGTATGGTGAAACATCTTATACAGTGCAATGCCCAGAAAAATAACATTCAGCTGCAACACACACACACACACACACACACACACACACACACACACACACACACACACACACACACACACACACACACACACACACACACACACACACACACACAATCAAATGCATTAAACAACAGTTTAAAAGAGGACTCTTGCACAATCTGTCAATGAATTTTAATGATTTCATTTTGTGACTGGTGGATTTTTTAAAAATCCTTACTGGACATATTTTCAGTTGTATTGCATGTCAGAAATAAATCTTGGGAATGAACAGATTTTCATGAAAAACAAACAAAGCAACATGACTCAGTTGAGAATTCACCTATCCGGACCTTTATTTCTATGCCATTTTCAAGCCTGGAAATCTCAATTGTATCATGGGAACTAGTGATGCACCGAAATGAACATTCTTGGCAGAATCCGAAAATTATCGAGCCACTGGAAGGCAAAATATTATGATGTGTGAGTGTGTGTGTTTTTTCAAGACAAGCACATCTTTACCCTACAGTATATTATATAAGAGGCTGGTTAATCTCTCACAGTTTGTGTAACCGTGCATGCACAAAGTCAAGTGCATGCACAAACTGTTCAAGAACAGAAAAGCACTGGTATTCAGAAGAACCATCTACGCCAGGGATGTCCAGACTCGGTTCAGTTCCAACCCCAATCAGACACAGCTGGCCTAGTTAATCAAGCTCTTACTAGGCAGTCTAGAAACATCCTTGCAGATTGAAGCAAGTTGGAGCTAAAATCTTCAGGACACCTGCCCTCCAGGACCGAGTTTGGACACCCCTTATCTACACAAAGGTCAAACACATGTATTATTATTTACTTATAAATCGTAGTATAACTTTTAAATAATATATACAAATAATGGTGTTTTGTTTATGTCACATGCAGTGACATATTACCAGTAATAGTAATTACTAATAATTACTAATAAGACATATTATTATTATTATTATTATTAGTAGTAGTAGTAGTAGTAGTAGTAGTAATAGTAGAGGAAGTAGTAGTAGTAGTAGTAGTAGTAGTAATAGTAGTAGAAGAAGTAGTAGTAGTAGTAGTAGTAGTAGTAATAGTAGTACAGTATAGCAACAGTAAAATACAAAACTAATACTGATTCTTGTTTCTTTGCTTTCAAAAATGTGAGAACAGAGCTTTTATTTTGGTGGAAAATCACAGAGAAATGTTTAAAGGGCACCTATGATGAAAATCTACTTTTGTAAGCTGTCTCAACAGAACTTTCTGTATGTATAGTGTGTCCGCTATCCTACTGGACTGATATAAACCCAACAAGTCTCTTTTTAAAATTTTCCTGAACTTAAAATAGGACCCGAATCCCAGTGATATTGAGGCCCACTGCAACGTGATGTAGGAGTGTGGTTTTCTCCACCCACCGAATTGATTGGCAGCTGTCATGTTTCTTTAAAAACATGAACACACGTCCACATAACATTTGCAAATAAACTGGGATTAAAACATATGTTACAACTCGTCGATTAAAATCGTCATGTAATTTTAAAATGCCATGATCACCATGGCTGTATGGTGTCAGTAAACAAGCACATATATGTGTGTGTACTACATTTGTGTGACACTCATCATTTCAAAAAGTCTTAAATAAACTCCACCACAAATACATTAATTAAACTTGGTATTTTTAAATAATGAGCTGTGTTTTGGCTACGTCTGAGTGCTGTTTATCTGATGTATGCATAATTACATGCAGACACGGATGTGGAAACAATGGGCGGGGAGAAACAGTTCATTGCCATTTAAAGACAGGCTACAAAAACAGCTACAGTATAATAAGGGCACTATCATACACCCGACGCAATAAGGCGCAAGACGTGTTTGACCCGACGTGTTGCTATTTTCACACCAACGCAACCTTTATTTTCCTGTTTTCTGCCACATTATTTAAATAGCAAATCCATTTGCGCCACTTTGTGGACTCATAGGTGTTTCAGTCTAAAAAGGAGGTGTGTTAAGGCGCGCTGCTATTTTAAGGAACTAAAATAGACTGTTCAATAGACCAGCTGAAGGCAGATCTAAAAGTCCAGCGAAGAGCGTGTTAGTTGTGCGCCTCGCTTACACAATGCTTAAAACATACATTATCTACAGCAATATGCAAATATCTTTACAAAAGAAAAATAATTAAAGGAATAAAATATTACAAAAATTATTATTTTCTACATAAATATAAAAACCACTGCCTCCATGCCTTCTTTATGTCGGGAGTTTTTTTTTTTAGTTTATTCATGACAATTTGCTTTGGTATAATGTTATCATTAGTAGCAGTATTTTTTATTATATGGATATTTGTTTATTTATTCATTTGTTGGAAATTAAAACTGAATTTAGAAATAGTTTTGAAACAAATCGTTGCGCTTAACAAACAAAATTAATTATGTATGTTAATGGATGTCTGTGCATATAATATTGTTTTCTTATCCATGAAAGAGAGAAAGAGAAAGTGAAAGTAAAGGCTAATTGGAGAAGGCTCGTTTATTATCCTTGCACTGCAAATGGCCTGTTTAACTGTTTTCTCGCTAGTGAAGCATTCAGTTTTTCCACTTACTAAGCCCTCCATGTAAATAGCTAATGCGCCATGGCAGACAGCAGACACAACTGACTGTTAAAGGGAATGAGAGATGGGACTCTGATTGGTTTATTCTCAAAACACACTTATAACTCATTAAGACAATAAGCACAACCCTGTTAGACCATGCGCCACGGCACAGAGCTTATTTTTCTATCCTTAAAATAGCAAAAGTGGATTCGGATATTGGACAACTTTTGTGCCCTGCGCTTTAGACTTTGTGCCTAGATCATTAAAATAGAGCCCTCAGACATCAAAACAGGCATATTCTAGAGGCTATTATAAATAATCTGATGGTTATTTTGAGCTGATACTTTACAGAAACATTCTAGATGCACCAAAGGTTTATCTTACATCTTGTAAAAGTGGTAAAATATGAGCCCTTTAAAACTTACAAGAGATTCATACAATTCTCATTTAAAGGGAAAAAAAAACTTAAAGATCTGTTGATTGTTGCATTCAAACAGAGATCATGTAGATCATTTACTATCAAATGAGTCGTACACAGATGCTGAAACTCATCAGCTGCTCATGTGAAAAGATTTCAGTGGTGTGTATAAGATTGCTCATTTATAATAACTAAAATGCAGTTCATTGTGTTTTGATAATCGTCTTAAACAAGAACAAGCTCTCAAGCATTACTAGAACAATGCTGATTTGTATGCTTATTTGCTGGGAGTTAATTTCAGGCCTTGTACTGCATGCATCTCATCACACCTCAAAGCAGTACAACTCTACCTCTCACCACTTCAAGGCAAAATAGAACCATAATCTGATAATTACTTTTCCAGTAAATATGACTATTCTCCATGTTAAACCTTTGGATATTAGATTTTCTTAAGTGTCTCTTCTGTGGATCCCTATTAAGGACATTTCAGTGCATTACTAATAGGAGCAATGCTTAAAAACTACAAATAAACAAGCTAGAAAAAGCTAATTGAACATGTTCACTTCACACACACATTCCTTATTTCTCTATATATAGCAGTGGGGACGCTCATCTTGTCTTGTGGGGTGACTGTGACTTTCCTGTAATTGGGAAAATGCCCTCGACAGACCATTATCTGAACCCCCTGTGTGGACGAGTGTGTGTGTGTGTTTGTGCCAGGGCAGAATTGGCTTTGCTCTATCGTTCTTTAAACCCAGTGTGCGTGTGTTTGTGTGTGTGTGTGTGTGTGTGTGTGTGTGTGTGTGTGTGTGTGTGTGTGTGTGTGTGTGTGTGTGTGTGTGTGTGTGTGTGTGTGTGTGTGTGTGTGTGTTAAACTCACCATGATGATGAGAGTAGCAGGCCCAATGAAACTCCAGATAAAGTAAGTATCTAACCTGAGCCAGCACCTACAGGAGAAAGAAAAAGCAGGAGAGAGAGATTTTCAAATGAAAGTAATCTCCAAGCTTGTCCAATTAAAATCAAAGTGGGTTTAAGTTCCAGAAAGCAAAGGTGTTTGGTTGATCATTGGATTCAGAAAGGGCTCGTTGCCCACGGAACATTCAGAGCCTCAAGGGGTGATTGACAACCCAGAGCTGAATTTTTAAACTCTTCATCTCTGCTATACAGAAATCACCTCTACAGCCCAGCAGGAGAGTGGAAGTGTGTGTGTTTGTGTGTGTGTGTGTGTGTGTGTGTGTGTGTGTCAGTCAGACATGCTCCCTCTTTAAAGAACAGATACCATATGCTAGAGAATGCAGAAACCAAATAGGATTATAAATATTTTAGGAATTTCAATTCATGTGCGCTGGGATTAGGCCATGCAGACATGCTTCCTTGTGCTTTATTTGAGCTCTTACCAGCCTGGCACTGATTTCACCAACCATCTGCCATAAAAACACCTTAATTTATGCTCCTTTCCACCTTGGGGACATGCTCTTTACGGTTTCCATGAAGGCGTAGGGATGATTTAAAAGTGTGGGGGCCATATTAAGGCTTGAATGGCTCTGATTATCTGCCAAAAAGTGGGGGGACTAAGTTCTAAAAGTGGCACCTGCATAAGGATCCATACGCTCCAGCTTAGATCTCCACTGTTGGCTCAGCTTTACAGGATCTGCAATAAAGCGGTGTTCTTCTCCTTTACTCTCTCCCTCTCCATTCAATTCTTGTTTTAAATGAGTGTGACCTAATTCTGTGGTCTGGTGAGACTGTGTGCTTGAGTGACCACCACTTATTCATATGCCACATTCAGCATCTCATCTTTAAATGATGATTTTTGCTGAAATATTTATCTGAGTGAACATCCCTCACGGCTGTGTCTGGCCACTAACTGCAGTAATGCCAGCTGAACAGTTTTCTTTATGAATATGAATTAGGGCAATTTCACCAGTTTGCCCATTTCAGAGCTCGCAAACACACAGGCAACTTACACAGTACAACCTGATCTGATGTGCTTGGCACTTGCAAAATATTTTGCTGGAGTAGACAGCATTAGGAGGATTTCTGAATTGCTCCACTTACTGATCTCAAGTCATTTTTTGTGACTTAGTGCTTTCAGAGAGGAGAGGAGCGTGTTTTGGTTATATATTTGTACACTCAAAAAAAAAAAATGCTAGGCTGTCATAACCCAGGGTTGGGTCAAATATGGACAAACCCATGACAATCAAGCATGAGTGTAGATCATGTCTTTAAGTACATTGATATTTGGTGAACACTACCTGACAAAAGTCTTGTCACCTATCCAAGTTTAGAAACAACAAATAATAACTTTTGGTGATTATTTGGTATCAGAAGCGGTTTATATGAAAGGGAAAGGACTCTGGATTATGCCTATTTTACCAAAATAAAATATGATCATGGCTTGATTTTTAATTATTTCATTAGGACAGTAAGGTCTGACTTTGCTTAGACAAAAGTCTTGTCACTTAACATAAACAATGTACAGTATAGAATTTAAAGTCATGATGCAGTAGAAAAACAATTATTATTGTGTATGACTCCCATGAGCTCGGAGGACTGCATCCATACATCTCTGAAATGACTCAAATAATTTATGAATAAAATCATCTGGCAAAGAAAGGAATAGCAGGACTCCCAGAGTTCATCAAGATTTTTTGGATTCATCTCCAATGCCTCCTTCTACATCTTACCCCTGACATGCTCAATAATGTACATATCTGGTGACTGGGATGGCCAGTCCTGGAACACTTTGACCTTATTTGCTTTCAGGAACTTTGATGTGAAGGCTAAATATGAGAAGGAGCGCTATCCTGCTGAAGAATTTGCCCTATTTGTGATTTATAATGTGATGGGCAGCACAAATGTCTTGATACCTTAGGCTGTTGATGATGCCATCCACTCTCCAGAAGTAGATTAAGACCTTAATTCAAACTAAACTCTTACACAGGGATATTTTTTAGAGTCTATGGTATTGAATACACTTTATAATCCAGCTACCTTAAAGGGGCATCATATAAAAAAGATCTGAACACAAAAATACAAAATCATTTATTTAATGTTGGAAATCTGCAACCATTGGCTTCCATAAGGTTTTGTTTTTCCTACTATGGATGTTTGGTTAAAGGTTTCCAGCATTCTTTAAAACATCTTCTTTTGTGTTCAACAGAACAAAAAAATGCTCAAACTGGTTTGGAAGAAGTCAAGGATGGGATGAGTAAATGACAGAATTGAAATTTTTGTGTGTGTACTATACCATTAAGAACTGAAAAGCATGTGAAGGAGGTGATCTGAAGACTCTCTCCAGACAAATTTACATTGCTATGTCTCACTGACATAATTGTGTTGTGTCATGTTGTTATTTACTGTAGGAGTAAACATGTAGAATAAATTTACATATTTATCTAAACATCGCTCTCGGCGGAGTCTATATTCTACTTGCTTATAATCAGTGCTTTAATAGTTTAGCTTTAATAGTAATTTCATCTATTTTTAACAAACAAACAAACAAACCAAAACTTTTCTGTAAATATATGTGGACATTCATCAGGTCACCTTCAGCCTATTGTACAGTATGTTATGTTTGTTTTTATTGGAAGCATGGACAATAAGTTGCTGGCTACAGTTCACCTAACAACCACAAGTGTCCTTAATACAAGCCTTTCTGACACCCCCATGTAGCTGAATTGACTACATGAGATTTAAATCATGTTAAGCTTGCATTCATGAGGTCATTTGCCACAAAGCAGCCATGTTTTTGTCCAAAGTGACTTTTAGGACAGTAATTGCAGAGCCGTTCCCCCTTGAGCAGTCTGGTGTGATGAGTCCGGCTCAAGGACACTGCACTACAAGATAACTCTTTTCCTGAATCACTAATTCCTGGGTTTGAACCTGCAGTCTCTCTAAACCATTAGGCAGCATTGCTAGTAAGAAAGCAGCTGAGTATTTGCAAGCCAATTTAGAAGCCGACAGACACATTTGGACATTACTCTAGTGATAGACCAATGCATTGGCCAGACAGATTAACTGGCTGAGAGCTGTCTTCGCTTGGCCAATTCAAGTGTTACCTCCCCCTTGTGTCAGTCCCAAATCTACCGAGAGCTGTCAATGAATAATGAGTAATATCTCCTTTTTTATTCCTATTAGATTTTGAGCAAATATTGTGTGGAATATCTGTGTAACGCAAGTTCAATTTTAATTATGTAGGAGAGATGTTTTGAGTCAGAAGTCCAGTGTTTCAAAGTGTTTCAAGCCCTCTTCACTTAGAATAATATAATGAATGTGGCCCTTCAAACTAAATGCTATATTATGATTTTGTAACAGCTGCTAATAGAATACAATAAAACTCTATAGCATACACTATATACATAACTAATATAATTAAGGTACGATTTAAAAAAAAAAAAAAGTTAAACTCCATCAAGACAATAGTATTTTTTGTAATATTTTGTTTTGATGGTACATTTGAGTTTTAGTAGACTGTCTGCTTAATATCTGTTGATACTGCTCCTTCAACAGACATTTAACTGACTATAAGTAAAGTACATGTCAACTTACACTAACCCTAACCCCAACACTAACCTCAACCTAACTTTCTCCTTATAATCTAATGAGAATTAGTTGTCATGTAGATGCAATGTAACTTAAATTCAACAAACAGACCATCAAAATAAAGTGTGACTGTATTTTTATCTAAATTTTATATCTAAGTAACCACATTATTCTGAAAAGTGAATTAATAAACCCTTTTTCCATATATACAGCTGAAGGCAAAATGATTATCTCCTGTGAAATGGTAATTATTTTGTTAAATATTTCACAAGTGATGTTTAACAGAGCAAGGACATCTTCACAGATTTCCTTTAACAATTTTTCTTTTGAAGAAAGACTCATTTCTTTTAAAGCAGTTTTCAGTTATTTTTCACCTTCCTTCATTCATTTTCTTTTCGGCTTAGTCCCTTTATTTATCGAGGGTCGCCACAGCGGAATGAACCGCCAACTTATCCAGCATATGTTTTATGCAACAGATGCCATTCCAGCCACAACCCATCATTGGAAAACAACAATACACACTCATTCACACATAAACTATGGACAATTTAACTTACCCGATTCACCTGTACCATATGTCTTTGGACATGTAGGGGAAATCAGAGCACCCGGAGGAAACCCACACAAACACAGGGAGAACATGCAAACTCCACACAGAAATGCCAACTGACCCAGCCGAGGCTCGAACCAGCGACCTTCTTGCTGTGAGGCGACAGCACTACCTACTTTGCCACCATCTCGCCACACCTTAGAATTATAAGGTTTCTTGTCAAATTATAAGATAAAATTATAAGTCTTTTATTATAAGACTTATTTATATAAAAAACTAAATAAGGTTTTATCTGCAAAGTCAAACTCTAGCTTGGCTTTAAAGGATTCTTTCTTAAGATTTCGAATGCATGCACGAGGACCAATCAGGATTTTTTGTCACTCCACCGGACTGCTCCATTGACAGCAGAGAAGACCAGAAAGAAACACAAAATTGTTTCTTCTCAAAACTGAAAAGAAACCTGAAACTAAAAAGATGTGTGTAAATGTGATGATTTAGAAGCATTTTTTTTTTTAATTGAGATGATATTTTCAATTGGACATTGTTGAAAATAAAAAAGTTATATTAAAAAAATTCTATATTAAATGTTAAATATTATTTATGTATTGTTGTATATTAAATGTAAAATATTATTATTGCTTATTAAACTAATTTGCTCAATGTCTGTTTTCTTTTAAAGTCTTTCAAGAGTTCACACTTAGCTGATGATGGGTAATAAAGCTTGTTTGGCATGCTGTCCTGGGAGAAAGCCCTGAGCTCATAAGATCCTCGAGCCCGGGGCTCCCTCCCGTTTGCAGGGCAAAAGGGAAGTTTGAGCTCGGGTAGATCTCGAGATCTCACCACGCTGCCTTATGGAGGAAAAAGAGGAGGAGAGGGGGTGGAAGGGGGGATTCATCAAGACGAAGATTACTAAGGTAAGATGCTTTGGTTTTATACTAAGCTAGGAATCGTCTGATTGGTGAATCATACATTAGCTAATGCGGGATCAGCCGTGTCAATCATAAGCATGTGATCCTCTCGAAATTAGTTTCAAGAGTTCCCACTTAGATATGCTTGGCATTTATAGCAGGTTTGGCATGCTGTCCCGGGAGAGAACCCTGAGCTCGGAGATATTTGAGCCCAGGGCTCCCGCCCGGTCTAGAACCATATCAGGAGAACCGAGATCAGGTAGGTCTCGATCGCTCCCCCTTTAGAAGGGGAGAAAAAGGAGGAGATGGGGTGGAAGGGGGATTCTTCCAAAACGAAGATAGTGCAATAAGGAGAAAGTGAATCATTTATATTAAGCTAGGATCATTCTGATTGGATTATTACTGATTACGGATGAGTAGCCAGCGGTGCACAATCATATCACATGCTCCTCTCGAAATTAGTTTATGAAACTTCACTTATAAATAAACTTTACTTAAATTTGATATTTAGCCTTGTAGAGCAAATACTTGATTTAAATCATGGGGCATATAATTCAATAAATTTAATTGCATAATTCATTTAAAGCATAAACTTCAGTAAATATTACCTTAATAATTACATAAAATTCATATTGTCACAGTCTTGAATGCTTAATCTGAACAAGAAAATATATTTTTTACTAAAACATTACATAAATGTTACAGAGAGCAAAAAAAAAAAAAAAAAAACTCTCTCAAACATCAACACATTAATATATAATATCAACAACACCATCAACATGCTTCATCGAATGATCTGCCACATAGAACTCTATAATAATTATATAATTAATATAAGAAGCTTCTATCTGCGTTTACCCTGTTTTTTTTTTACCCCAATTTGCAAATGTAAGAACATTTTGATAATTTACATTTAGAGTATATTTAGGGTGTCTGTCATGTTAATGTATGAAAGACAACTGTTGCACGCATATTGTTTGCTTTATGGAATGCAAAAACTTTAAAGCTTAATATCTCAAAATCATTCAGAAGGTGGCAAAAAATAACTGTATTGAAAGGTATATTTAAAAAAAAATTGTCTCTGTGTTAAACAGCACTTGGAAAATATTTTAAACTAATTAATATTTTGAAGGAGGGCTTATAATTATGCCTATCACAATCTACATTTTATAACTGCAGCTAAAATTTTGCCTTCTGTTTAGAAAATATCTATTTTCCTAACCAGTTGGTGAGATTGTTTAAAAAGTGTGACATTTAGACCCTATGTAAGCATTTTACCATGGGAAATAGATCTGTCATTTACTTACACTCTTTCAGTGCCGTAGCTACGGTAGTCCACAGCAGCCGATACAGCTACTATGACAGCTGGCACTCCATATCCTGTGAGATAGAAGTACTTGGTGCGCGAGTACTCGCTCTCGAACACTTCCACCAGCATGATGTACAGCTGTACGCCTTCCAGAAACATCCACGTAAACGCAGCCAAGAAGAAGAAATGCAGCAGGGCCGCAAACACAGCGCAGACGATCTGTAACAAAGACATACACACAGAGCACAAACGCTGCTCAAACTATCTAGCCAGTATCTGTGTGATCTGTGACTCGCTGCTTTGAGCATTAACCGTCTGTTCTGTTATCACTTTAGAAATTTCCCGATGGATTTCCAACATTTTATCTTTGTCATTTTCCATTTGTCTTTGCTTATATTCTCCTGTCTCCCTCCCACTCTTTTTCTCTCTCTGAGGACACAGTGAGGTTTTTGCGATTAACGAGAGGTCAAAGATCCTCTCCATTTCTGTAATTAACAAGAGTCAGGTGCCCAACTTAACGACTCAATGAATTATGTGTGTTTGACAATCCGCTTGTTAAGTCTGACGTCATGAGTCACACTTTCTGCTTCCAAATGCTCTTTCTGGCCATGTCTACATACACATGGGTACTTTTATATACGTTTTTTCCACCATTTAAACAAAACTGTCTCGATGAAAATGTGAAAAACGTATTGTGATGCAGTGACAAGGGCATGTCAAATCAATAAAGGCAAAAACTCTTGTTTTAGTGGCCACACTAAGCTATGTTTCAGCCATTTTTCCATTCCACTCTTTTTATGAGCATTTTAGAAAATTGCATAAAAAAACACTTAATGAAAATGCCAAGATGCACATAAATTTTGAAAAAGTTCCAAAAAAAAAAAACTGTATGCACACACAACTGAGCAGGATAAACTTTTTATCCGATAAGAAAAAATGTGCATAAACTACAGGACAATGGAAACATTCATTCTTTCATTTTCCTTTGGCTTAGTCCCTTTATTCATCAGCGGTCACCACAGCGGGATGAACTGCCAACCTATCCAGCAAATGTTTTACACAGCGGATGCCCTTCCAGCTTCAACTCAGTACTGGGAAACATCCATACACACTTATTCACACACATACATTAACTGTATGTTCACACCGAAAACGGCAAAAGCATCAAAGTAGCCGGAAGTCATTCATTTTCAATGAGAGCTGGCGGCGGTAAGCGGCGAGGAGCAGCACAGCGCGCCTTCACCTGTGTGGGCGTCTAGGAGAGTTGAAATCAAGTCAACTTTATGGTAATGAGCTGTGACGCCGTTCGGCGGCAAGCAATCAGCATGTAGAAGTCCACCACTTGAGAAGAGTCTAGTGAACACAATCCTGTGAACTTTGGTTCTGACCACAGTTGTTCCCAAGGGTTTAAATATTGTGGTCGCCGGATTTCCAATTATTTGCATTGTTTTGTAACAGGAATATACATTAAAAAGTTACTGGTGAGTTACTGATGTTCATTAATGTTATACATTTTTTATTATTTATTATTTTAAAAAGCGGGAATGTCTGGCGACAATACAAAACAGTACTGCACACTGGATAATTAAGTGAAGCAAAGCCACACCACATGCAACTTGATCTCCCATAGTTAAATAAATTTGATAATAAGTGTGCAACATTTTCATGCAAGAAAGTATGTTTTTATGCGGGAATGTAACTGATATGATATGCTGCCACAGCCCCTTTAAATACGAGCTTAATGTGTCGAATTTTGACGCTCTCACCGCTTTCAGTGTGAATGTACAGTAAGGCCAATTTAGCTTATTCAAATCACCTCTATCCACACTGTGTCTGTCATTTTACACACATGTTTGTGGAGGACACCACAGCACCTGCAGGAATCCCATGCAAACTTGGGGAGAACATGCAAACTCCACATAGAAATGCCAACTGGCCCAGCCGGGACTTGAACCAGCAACCTTCTTGCTGAGAGGCGACAGTGCTTACCACTGAGCCACCATGACGCCCCACAATGGAAACACATTTACTGAGTATATTCCAGCATGTGCATCAAAAAAGTAAAGCGATTTTGTTTTAACAGGTCATGTGATAACAGAAACATGCATTGTGAGATGGCATTAAAGGTGCAGTAGGTGATCTGCCTAAATGCTAACCGGTTAGCATAATATCTTTCAAATACAATCCCTCGCCTGTCATCCTAAGCCACGGCTCCTGAAATCACAAACACGCTCTTTAAAGATGACAGAGAGCCACTAGATCATGTCATTTGCCAATTTTTTTTTTTACTTTTTAGTACTTTATAATACTACAATTGTGGTTTTCAGTTGTGTAGTTAGCAAGCAAAACTTGTCATCATTATCTCATCAGTCTCTCTCACACGCTTTGTCGTAAAGCAACTACTGTATGCTTAGTGCTTGGCCGCAGGGTGCAGGATATACAATTATTACCAAGCCATACATACATGCTATTTCAGACTGAATATTCAGAGTAGTATAGTAAACAGTATAGGGAGCGCGTCACAGGTTGTCATGGTTAAAAAATGAACCAATGTGAATATAAAACCAAGTTCACATCAGAAGAGCAGGCTAGGCGGAATAGCTTATGTTTTGTTGTTAAACTAAATAAAAATCGACAGTATCGATGCTGTAAAAGGAACCCGATGAAACTGAAAATAGTCACACCAATCCTTCGCTGAAATATTTCAGTGGCTGAACAACACTTCCGTGCATATAAGTTCGAACCCATTTGTAACAACAAAATCTACATCAGCTTTGTGTGACTAAAATGGTTTTAAAACATAACATTACCCGTCTAAAATAAATACTTTAGCCATGGTGTCATCGTTCCTCTAGCATGCAAAAGAAACTCCAACATTGACTCAGGATTTTAAAAAGTTTTGATTAAGTATTTGTTTTTAGCGATGTTACTCATGTCCACGTGAACGCGGCCAGGGTGAACGCGCATCAGCGAATCTGTCTGAATGGGTGGGCAGTTGTTTAAATTTACATTTGTTGACAGACAGTTTGGGCTACTTATCACAATTATGAAAATAGTCGGCCCGACAATATTTAATTGGATGAACATTTATTAGTCTTATGCCTTACCCAGAATATAAAACTACATGCAAATTCATTTAGATCATTCACTTTAATAATTACTTTTGGAATGTAAAGAGACTTTCAACCAGCACAACAAAAAATGTTTCTGAAGACAATCACCTACTGCACTTTTAATGGACAAACCAGCAAACTGACCATGTTGTAAACATCTGAAATGATTTTCTGTTAATTTAAAATGCCTTTGGCAAACTCCGTCATCAAAGTGGTTCAGTATTATTACTTTCCAGAACTTTCCTTGAGTCTCTAAAAGCACTGTGTATTTATTGCGTTCCTTTTTCTTTGGTGCAAGTGATTTATTATACAAGAAAATAAGGCCTACGGTGGTTTATGCAGTAAAATTTCATTTTTCTTTCTGATATTTAGTGCCAGTTTGTCAGGAAGTGACTATTTTGTTATTTGCAAATGTTTTATTGTATAAATGTGATATTCCAATTTTGAGCACAAGCCTAATTTGCATCTTGGTGGATGGAAAAATAGCTAATGTTACTGGAGTTTCTGAACATCTTTACCTTAGCAGAAGTTTCTGTTTCAGTAACCAGATTTTCGCATGGATGAATGACCAAACGGCTTACAGAAAAAGCTATTTTTTTTAAAGAAACTGCGGCTTTGGAAATAACTGTTTAAGTGGACAGGGTCTCAGAAGCTAAAAGTGTGAAAACAAACAGCTTTAATATATCCTCACTGTGTGACATAATCCTATTGATAATCCTAACATGATTGCAAAGTTTTAAGTGATCATCTTTAAAAAATTGTCAGACTTTGTGAAAGATTTACACCAATAAATGTAAAACATAAACACCATAAGTGGCTATCGATATTGAGCCTCCTGGACCCGGAAATAGTATTTCACACATCACAACTGAACAAGCGGATAAGCGTAAATCCCTCAAGTGTGTAAATGCGGAGTTGATCTTACAGGCTGGTCTGCACGGTTGATCCCGGTGAGGAAGAGGGTTTCGGCAATAAAGAGGGAGATGCAGAGGTTTTTGTGGATGGTGTTCCTGTCGCTTTGCAGACCACGGAAGAAACAGAAGGTGAAGATGCAGATGAGCAGGCAGACCAGAGACAGCAGGATCCCCACCCATGTTATGACGTCCAATAGCAGCTCATGCACCTGGTCTGCTTTCTGAAAACACAGGGATGAAGGAGAGAGACATGTTATTCAAATTCTATTATAACCATCTACTTTTCAGAACAAACCTTCAGTCTGTTAAATAACTGTTTATTAGCAACATCATTTAACAGTTGAAGTATTACTTAAACTGTATTTGTAGTAGAAATCTTATGAATTACCCACGCAGCATTCAAAATACACTGAAAATAATATTATTATAATATATATTATTACATTTTATAATAACTGTGTTGTTACACAAAATATAATACATTCCTGTCAGTAAAAAAGAATGATTTTCAGTAGTCATTACTCTAATATTCTATGCTTTGGTGCTTAAGAGCCACTAATTTTATAATATTATGCCTATAATTGCCTGCTCTACCACACGGTTGACCATGTTTTTAGTGTTTTAAATAGTGACTGTTAAAGTCATTTAAAGAATAACTGTTTTAAAGAATGATTTACACACAGCAATGTTGGTTTACAAAAAAAAAAACAAGAAAAAAAAACAAGAAAACTTGAGAATAAGAATCTAAAATATTTTTATGGCACACTTTAAAAAATAAAGATAATTTAGTGTTCAAATTGTTTTATTTTGATTATGTTTTAAAATAAATTGGTCTTACACTTCATATTTTCAATATTTCATAGTATATTTATTAATTTTGGTACTTTTAGCAAAAACTGACATATCTACAGTACCATTTGGTAGAGGTTGATATTTTAGAAATTATGAGAGGTTTTAAAAAAAAATCTTGGTGTGGCAGTTAAAGGTTATCAATTCAGAGAACATCTGTGTTCTTATATTTTTGTATATACTTTACTATTTTTTCTATATACTTTATTCTTTATGCTATAATAATAAAATGAAGACCATCACTTATTTAAAATAGATTAAAAAAAAACACCATTACGTATTATTAATTTTGAATATTTTCAGATGTTTTCATTGTAATTTGAACATTTTAGCTATTTTGTTTTATTTTTGTTCATTTTTTACTACTATGTATTTTGATTTTATTTAGTCTTCAGTTATTCAGATATTTTAATTGAACTACAATCAATTTCTTTCCCAAAAAATAAAATAAAATGTTCTGTGTACGGCATGTTGTTGGTAGCCTGCTAAATCACTTAATTTTATTCCTAGAAAGGAAGTTTCTTGCTGTTAGAGTTCAGACAGAACACTGCACTCATGGGCTCTTTACAGGCCCAGATGGAAAATGCAGAACCTTTTAACAATTTCTGCACTGATTTTGGAGGAAAATCTGCACAAACTGATAAGCGCCGATAGTACTATACTCCTACTTGCAGCGGAAAGTCTTATCAAATAAATAAAAATATTTTATAATTGAACATAATGTTTCACTTGGTAAATGGCGAGCATTCAATTTCTGCTGTGCCACAGATTGCAGGCCTGGGTTTGTGGGAATGGCCCATTCATTTCCACGGCACTGAGAAATTTGGAGCACTGCGGTTATGACAAGACTCAGTGTTCAGTGAATGTGCGCAGTCAACCCTGCACACACACAAGTGCACACACACTAAATGGTTTTATTAATCATTCATACGTATATGCAACATCCATTAATGCAGCCTCAAGGGTGTGGGTCCAAATGATGTGTGCGCGTGTGCGCGCATGTGTGTGTGTGTGAATGTTTAAGGTCAATCCTCCCCTCTGCACACAACATTTACATTTATGTATATCTTGACCTTTTGCCTTTACGTTCTGCACATAAATCATTTCTTCAGTCTATTGCTGACATGCACACACATGTGCACAAACTCTATGTACGTACAGTACAATACATTTGTCCACACTACATTAAGGGTTTCGTATCTGTTTTGTCATTTTTATTCCTGATTTTATGTGCATGTGTGTGTGTGTGTGTGTGTGTGTGTGTGTGTGTGTGTGTGTGTGTGTGTGTGTGCGATGAATATGAGTGTCCTGTCTGAGATAACACACTGCCCAAGGCAAGAGCCCAGTGGCTTCAGGAGAGCTGTGAGGTCTCTCTTAGTGCTGGATGACGTAACCTATTGCAGTACCAGTGAGTGCGGTTCAAACTTTATTTTACCGGTCTGCTTGTAAATCTCAGGTTCATTGTAAAGTATTCTCAACAGAACTGCTGGAGCAAAGTCAGTGACCACCACTTCGCCAGGCCATAATAATCAATCTACTGTATGCTGTGACCACATAGATTTCAGCTTAACCAGTTCCCATCCATTTAAATTTAACCATTTAACCAAATTGATCACGATGACCTACCAAGTCCATTTCTGCTCCAAACGATCCCTAATAATTAAATAACCACGCACAAGCTAATAATGAGCTATAATAATTCAAAATTACAAAACATGTTAGCACCTCAGTGATTAGTGTGTAATTTGCTGTTGATAGTCACCTATAGCATAGGTGACTCATTTTATGACAGATTGACACATTTAGTATGTGCAAGGTAATATTTACAACATTATCTCTTTTTGTCCGGGTTCAGCAATCATTTGTAATGTTAATGAAGTACTCACTCAACTCATGTGAGCTGATGCTGTTTGATAACTTTTTATACAAGTGTATTTGTTCATGTAGGCTCCAGGAAAAACCACGTGTGTGACTAATATTCTCTGAAATGTCTAAACTAATTGATCGCCCCCTGGTGGCTGGATGCAAAACAGGGTGGGTTGAGGGAGTATTTTGATACCTCTTAAATCACAGACGGAGACCAGACAGAATATTTTAGCTGCAATTTGTCTACAGTGGAGATGTCTCATCCATCATTTATTATAGTCTAAACTATTTACAGAAGCTGTGGATTAAAGTTAATAATGGTTTCTAGCTTCAGTTTCTCTCTCGCATAATGTATTGTCAGGAGCCAAAGGTAATCATTTTTGTTTTGCTTGTTTAGTGTCAAAGTTGATTTAAGCTGAATATTTTGCCACAAAAAATAATTATATTTTGTCATGTGTAGTAAGCAGTGTTCGTTCCAAATGTCCTTCGAAGTGCAAGTCAAAATATTTCTGTTACATCCATTTCTTTGAGTCCATTTTACATTTTTACTCTTTTCTCTAAAGCAGGAGTGGCCAAACTTTTTCTTATAAAGGCCAAAAACCAAACTTGATTGAGGCTAGTGGGCTGAAGGTAAATATTGTTGACATGGGTACTTTCCTAATTTAGAAAACACTGCTTTATATTATCTAATACAGTAATATAATAAACTTATTACAGTAAAAACAAAACAATCTCATTTATAACAGAATTACACTAGTTTTGCCTTGATTTGCTCACCGATGTCTTCTGCATTGTCCTCTACCTGACAGAATTTACAACATTTAATTGAAACATTTAATTTCAGATTTTTGAAGCTCAGCAATAAGACAAACAAACAAACAAACAAAAGGTTACCTCAAATTAGAAATGACGATCTTTGTGTTAAAAGCGTTTGCCCCAACCCTTTTGATTACACTCACTCTTCTCTCAGCTGGGATGGTGGGCCAAATCAAGGGTTAAAATGGCCAAACTTTGGCTTACAGGCCCTACTTTGGGCATTTCTGCTCTAAAGCATATAATTTAGTTCATCGACAGCATTTCAGCTGATGCTCATGTGCAAAGCAGTAGTTGAAAAACTTAAGTTGAAATTAAAAGTAAACAGAGGTTAGAAACATTGTCCTTGCAAACTGAAATGAAACAATTTTACTAATGTTGACTTAAAAAAATGAAAACATATAATACAAAATAAATAACACATTTATTACAACTAAAAAAATATTACTACATTCTAATACACAAAAATGGTAAAAATCACATGAACCATAAGTTATGTTGATGTACTTCCAACTGAAATTAAATATTGAGTAGGGGCGGGGCTTTCTTTTTATGCATAATTTCGTTGCAGCAAACTAACAGTAAGGTGGGCATGGTTAACAATATTGTGGCTAAAGCCATGAAAACTGATGAGAAGCAAATGGTCAGATTCTGATTGAAGATTAATAAAACAAACATGTTTTATTATTATTATTAATTTGCACAGATTAATGGTTCACCTAAAGAATAACAATGTGCTCTAATGAGATAAACATTTTATTTTTTGTATTTCAGACAGACTCTAAACTGTAGCAGATCAAACTTAAAAACCCTTGTAGTAATACCTATTTATAACCTAAAATTTTGCATTATATTTAAAAAAAAATGTTTACATAGTATTTAACACTGTTTAATCTTTTTAGATCCATTTTGTCTCATTTTCATTATTAATAATCAATTGAAAACATCAACATCATACCATAAAAATATGCAAATGTGATTGTTGAGATTAATAATCATAACCTAAATCTGAGACATACCTTCACCTCCACATGGGCCATAAGCACAGCAAAGTTGGTGAGGTGTGTGCAGGAGCAAGAAGTGTGGGTGCGGTTGGTGCCCAGCAGTCTGCAGTCCTGAGTGGACCAGAATCCTGTCATGGTGCGTTTAGAGTAACTCCAGAAAGAGCAGTTTGGATTGAAGTTCTCTTCTGACTGCTGGAATGAAAATATGCGTATTATTCTCTTCATTATAATGATGGAAACACATTATAAAGCAGATCCAATGAAGAATAAAATGTAAGCAATTATAATACCTGTATGTGCTTGACAGTGAAGACCACAGGTTCAGACAAGTAGACCTTGTTACTGTCTTTATTAATGGCTGCTGTAATAACAGGTGAGTTGACTATCAGGGAATAGTTTGGATAGACGGCTTCGCTGCCAAGACGCACGCTTGCATTCTCTGTGGACAAGTATTGGCCGAGGTTCTTATAAAGAACCAGCGCCATACGGATCTCACCTACGAAAGAGGAACACAGAAGCAGTCAGTCTGGAAGCGTCAGTATGGGAATTAATCGGGGGCAGATGGACAATGACGGATTACCATTGCGTCCTTGCTGTTTGAGTGTGTTGGCTGAGAGATGAATGGAGTTGCCGGTTAGTCCAGATTGGGGGAAGCTTAGATCCGCCAGATTAACATCTGTACTTAGCCGAGCCACCTCCAGTTCTGCAAAACACCAACACAAACATGGTCATATTCCGCCACCTATCAGACTGGAGGACTCTTAGCTCTGTTTATAACACAGCCATTTAAAGCGTACTTCTTTTCATAGCTTGCATGAACACATGCACTTCCACTGTGAAAGAAATATTCATCCTTGTCTAATGTCTGTGCTTTCTCTGGCCAAATGTTAGGAGCGATAAAAAAGTCTTTGTACTCATTTAAAATTGAGTTATGTGTACCTTTGATCCCCCCGCACATGTTTCTGCAGTCGGTAGTTTGTTGTTCTACTTCTGTCTTCTCTTTTTCTTTTTCCTGGCCTTGGCCTTAAAAGCAGGGCCTGAACTGGATCCCCAATAAATTATTTTAGCTAAAATATGAATGACACGTCTGATTCCATACAAACAGTTCTAATCATTTGTGTGAATGTGAACTAGTTTTCATTTGTCTTTAAAACGGCAACACCTCCACATCTAAAAGCAATATCGATTATCGGGCTCTTGTAAAGCTGGCTATAAAAACGGAGACTAATTAACCTCCACTTGGAGTTGGGAAGAGAGAACTTTCTATTTTGAGTGGTAATTTTCTCATTCTGTCTTTCTACTATATTTATCTGCTCCATGTTGGGTTTTTGTATTCAGCATAAATTATTTAGGCTTACTCGTTTTTCATTATTAATAGGCCTGGTTCTATGGGTGTTCTCAAACGAAAGCAACCCTCAGATGGAGCTTTAATAATAGCATACTGGCAAAAAGAATATCATCAGAGGCATTTACGTATGAATCCACTGACCGCTCTAAACGCCGACGTTCATCAGGTTCTGCATGCTGTAGTGTAGACGAGATGGAAATAAGAGATTCACTGCATAGAACAAAACTTTATAGGATGGCAGTGATCTATGATTACTAGTGACAGCTTGTTAGAACTAAAGAGCGCATTTTGCATGCTTTCTACATCCATTAAATCCATTTAGTATTTGTATAAATCCTTTATTTTTCATGTTACAAGGAACAACAGCCATCTACACAACAAAATGTTGCTGTTTTATGTAAAAACAGAACTTTAAAAGCTTAGATGCTTTTTGTGACATTATAAAATGACAGTGACAGTGAGATCATACAGTGAGCTGGGAAGCTAACTGATTATTTAATGTTTTAATATTTTTCTAATGACATTTCAATGTATTCTGGATAATAAATAGTGTATATTTATGCATATTATGATTATATGGTCTATTTTGTTTAAGTATTCTAAGACAAACCCCTTCCTTCCAACTTCAACTGTGAATTTCTCATTAGAATAAAAAGCTTATTTATACAAAAAGCATAAAAGACAAAGATACTCATAGAGCTAACTACATTAGCACCCACACCAAAGCACAATTTAGAGCAGGATAGATTTTGATTGGTTGTCAGTGTTTTCATTGTTAATTTTCTAGGCACACATTGTTGTGAATGTGATTCCACCCATTTTCAATGTTGTTATCAGTTGTTCTTCTGTCTTATATTACTGTTGTTGTTAACAGTTCTGAAAAAGGGATAAAATGACAAAGTCTGTCATCAATCAGTGTTTCTTCTGTAACTTCCGTTTAAGTCTCTATTCATTTCTTACTTCAATTGATCACAGAGAACAACTTTTAAAGAACATTGGTAACTAAACCATTGATTGTGTCCATCGACTTCTTTAGAGTTTTATTTTAACTATAATAGAAGTCAATGGGGACCTATGGTTCTCAAACAAATTTTGGTTTCCAACATTCTTTAAAGTATCTTTATTTGTGTCCATCAGAAAATAAAAAGAAATTCATAAAGGTTTGAAACAACGTGGCTGTGAGTAACTAGTGAGTGCTCATTTGTGGATGAACCATCCTTTATTTTGAGAAGATATGAAAGAGTTTATAAAAAGTACTGAATGCAAACATGCTGATAATTTTCAGTGCATTTCTAATTATTCTACAAGCTATCCAGGGAAGATACACACTATTTTTCCACTTTTGTTCACATGGTGTATTAAACTCTGTGTCACCTCTCGCACTAAATGAATATATTTAAGAGCGCACCAGTAAGAACACCCACCCATTTGCTTCAAGGTAAATTAATGTTAATAACGTAATGTAAATTCATTTACGTTTGGATTCAGGTCACAGCAGAGGTGACAGCTGCTAAAGAGCTCACACTAGCATAGATGGTGTGTTGCAGAGACATTAGAAGAGGATCTGTTCACTCGTGCTAATGTTATCATTTGTAATCGATTTCAAATGAGGCTCCTCTCTTTTCAGTTGATGTGATAAGAGCCAACTGAGTCGCCGGTTTTAATTTAACAATTTCTTTTTAATGGAAGATAAAAGATGCTTTGCAATCTCAAACTTCATTACAGTCCACGAAGAAAAATACAAGAATATTATATCAAAAGATTTACATGTGATGTGGGTAAAGCAACAGTGGTAAAGAGGCAGAGCTTAGCCCTGTATTTTTGAGCATAACGAAATGTACTTTTATTACTTCTGCACTGAATTCATTTCACACAATGTACTTTTTGTGCTCAAATAAATCACTCATACTGTATGTTTATGTCTATTATTTTACAATTAAAAAATAAGTGGTATGTGAAAAGACTAAAACAGTTGTTAGAAACCTTCAGTACACGTGGTTATCAGACTGCTTCTCCAAAAACAAGGAGAGGGAGAAAAGCACAAGACATTGTCTAAGAAAAAAATTCCAGAAATGTCATTTTGCGATATATTGCCATCAATTTCCAAACATGTACCCAGGGGATGTGTGGCTTTTGACTTATTACTTTTCGGCATTGCTCCAGGACTAGTTTCATATATTTGTTTATGAAATAATAAAATGTTTAGTGTGGTGTAATTTTTTTTACATTACCTGAGCATTATAAACTTTAGATGATAGACAGTAAAGCCCAAAATGTCTTCTTTTTAAAAATACATGAACTGTGAATGTAGACCAAATTATTCAGCAACTGTTACTGTTTTAGTTTAGGAAGGTCATTTTTTAGAAAGTGCCTCTGACGGTGAGGTACAGAACGACTGTATGGATTAAATATGGATATGGATAAAAAACCATTTGTATATAAAGATCGTCAAGTGTCTCTTTCCAATGATACCTAATTTTTGTTTGTAGCTCACTGGGGTCAAGAACTGTTACCTCCTCAACTCTGCGTACCTAGCCCAATACCCCCATAAGTGGTTCCATTCTCTCATCAGTTAGAATAGAACCTATTTTGCATTGATTGAGACATTTTTCTTTTTTTCTATGATTACTGACATGTCCAGGAACCAACTAAATTATTTACAGCATCCCAGACCACACAGAACCTAAAAGATACACTTTTAAATTTGAGTTTACAAAAAAATATGTTATAACACAGACAACATATACAATTATTTTATCTTTTTCAACAATGTTTTATGAAAAAAGGGTTTTCTTTTAAATGATAAAAGAAACTTTTGCATTTACACATCTGCATGTGGATTTGAGAAGCTTTTGAATTTGGGTGGGCAAAATCCAGGTGGAAACCTGGAAACCTCTTAAAGACTTTAAGAGGTTAGATTAAACTATAGTGTAAGACAACACACACAGCTGTCTAAATAAATAGGCTATAAAATACACAGTTGATCAGTTAGGACTATTAAAAAATTATTTAAAAAACTGTACGGAAAGAAAAAAGCACATGAAAGAATGCTGCTTATTTTATTGACGTGCTTTAATTTTAGACAGTTATTTAAGATTTTTTAGTTACAAAATTAAAGCCTACTAAAGAAATATTATGTTGGCACGGGATCTGAGCAGTATTGGTTTACCGGTGAGCATGAGCAGAAAGAAGCACTTGCTTTGAGCAGTTAGCGACTGAGTAGAGGGCATGACCAGTGGAACACTGCTCAGCTCCACTCACATGCTCTGGATGCTACAGTATATCACTTAAGTATGTTCACTATGTACATAACTGCCCCCTGCTGGTCATGTCTTTCTTGAGTTAGACCATTTTGTGCTGTGCCGCGCAGTACTGCAGCACTGCGTGTGTTCACGTTCATTCACTCGCGCATTTCCAGTAGCCACATCTTTAGGTGTAAATCTGTAGGTGTAAATAAATAAGTGAGTGCTGGATAACAGGTTAAGGCTGATTAATAATGAAATCGTAATTTGTCATTGTTAGCAATAATGAGAGATTTTACACTCTACATTACTAGAGTGCATATACCAATAGAAATAATCAAGTCTCCCCATCTAAACATGAAGAGTGAAGATTTGAAGCTTTTTCATTAAAAAAACATACACTTGAAAAAGAAATAAACGTATCCACAAATCAGTGTGTGTGTAGAAACGCATCAATCTATTAAACACCATCTATAAATCAGAGTATTGATTGTCCAGTATGCTTTAAGACATTGCTTCGTGAACATTGTTTATTTATCGAGTTTAGATGAAAGACACTTTTGGCTGGCCAAATGGCTTTATAAATTCACTTTGAGACATGAAAGTATGTGTGTGCATGTGAGAATGTGGTATATCACATCAGCGTGTGAAGTCTACAGTTCCCAAGGGGAGCGATGAGTTATACAACAGCCGTGCTATAAAGTTATACATCTTTAAATCACATCTGAATCTGAATGTGTGTGTATGTGTGTGCTCGCATGCGAGAGCATTATTAAAATCATTTTCCTCATATCTGCAGGTGGTCTCTAGGCCAAGCTACAGGCGGTTTATGTAATTTTCTGTCCAGCTTTGTAATATAAAGTAGCCCTGTATGTGTCTGTTCGTGCACAAATGTGCGTTTGATGAATTACAGATTCCTGTTGCACGTTAAACCAAATAAAATCCTCATTAAAGGCACATTTTTAACACCCTTCCGATCTCATTTAATAGATGATATGTTTCTGTCATCATTACAGTCATTTATATACAAGCTGCATCACACTATACCTCTCTAATAATCAAAATGATGTTCTAATTATGCAAGTCAGATGGTGCAAATTTTCCCGGTAGAGA